AGATGTATATTGGTGAATAGTTTAGGTGAATACTTTTACGCAAAACAATTTTTTTTCAAGATGGCCGCCAGTTTTAAAATTGTAGGAATTTTTCACAAAAATCTTATGTTTTTCATTTTAAATTATTATTTGAAATTTTGGTAGTATATTAACATCTATATATTTCACATATATCCCGTTTTTTACCTGACCCTAGGGGCCGTAAATGGGGGGTTGGGAAAACAGGAATTTGCGTTAATTTTGAGATGTTTTTGAAGTATAGCTTTATTATACTCAAATGAAAGGCAATTTAGAGTAGATTGCAAATATTGTAGCGTTACTTTTTCTTATTCGTGCAATTCAAAATGGCCGCTTTATTGCGGGATTTGGCAATTATTTTCTGATCTCTTAAAAGTATGGCTTTATTATACTCAAATTTAAGGAATTTCAGCGTAGATCACAATCATGGCATTGTTTTCTTGATTTGTCCCTCTGAAAATCAAAATGGCTGACTAGAGCAGAAATTCGCAATTACTTAGAGTTATCTTGAAAGTATGGTTACATTTTACTACAATGATCTAAAATATTTTATTGAAGGGAAGGAGTAGATGGTAAATATTACATTGTGACTGTATAGATTGATCATTTATATAGTGTTCGTTTGGATTTGCTACTCCGTGGAGTTGCCATTTTCTAGTTTAATCGAGTATAATAAATTTAGTATTTGGTTGATCTTGGTTGTGTTTTGGTAGGTTTGTGTCAGGTAGTGCCTAAATGATTTAGTTAAATGATAGGTCGAGGTTTTGGTTCGTGAAACGTTAGTTTTATAATGGGTTGTGTAACTTGTGTTGTGATTGTATTATATTGATCGGGTGGCAGGTTGTGCCCAGTCCGGTAAGGTATTTGGCTGTGTCCACTATGTGACTGGTGTTATCTCAAATTTGATCGATGAGAATTGGTTGTATTTTATTGGTTGTACCTGATTGTGTTGTATCAGTTTGACAGTCGTATTGGTTTGGTGTCAGATTGTGCCCCGTTGCGTTATGTTAATTCTATCATGGGCTGTGGGCTCATGGGCTGTTGTTATCACGTAGTGCTGGTTGAGTAACAGATTGTGCAGATTATTAAAATCATTTTACAGTGTCAACTTTATTTTTCTAAAAAATAGATTAATGGGGTCCATCCATTAATCCGAAACTTAGTAGGCCTCTAAGAAATTAAGCTAATTATTAGAAATACCTTTATCTACATTTTACCAGAACTAAAACAAACCTTTAGCAATATTTTCGCAGATTGACAACATTTAGTATATTTTTTTGTTATTCTATAAAATAGTTGACCACATTATCAAGACACCATTAGAAGGCTTGTCCATTTTTCTTCTTAAATCTTATTTTAAACAAATGTTTGCTGTATGTGTAGCTAAATTAAAATCATGAAAGCGTCCGTAAAATCATCTATCTCAGTCGAAATGTTGAGGCATGCGCAGACCTCTATTTAGTGATATTTTCATTTCAAATATGGCGGCCAATCCGATGTCTGACGACCCTTACAAAGAATCTAGGCAGTTTGCATTTTTACCTCCTGTGAAATAACAAGTGGAATTTAGTAGTTGTTTTGTGTTTTATTATCATTCTGCATCGTAATTCTATGTGATGTGGTGTTGAAATGTCAGCAGAAATGCATATCCATACGATAATCGAGTGAATCAGATAACAGATTTTTCGAAAACCCGTCTCGTGCTAAGCGTGTAAAAACTTGTATTAACATGCTCAAAAGTGCCAATGTGCACATCAATGTCAAGCTAAATCAATGTTGTGTCTAAAACAGGTACCCGATCTACTCAAAACAGCTTGTCATTCACGTATACACGCTTAGCAAACACGGCGAAATGACCTGAATCTTGGAATTTCGTTCGAGAGCTAGTAATGTTTGCTCCGGTCTTCGTCATAATTGTTCAACAGACTTCACGCATGCGCATGAGAAAAACCATCAACCAATAAGGTTTATAAATCAATTTTGCGCATGCGCCTTACAACGGTAAAGAAATTCGTATTTATAAACGAACCAGTTTGAGATAACCCGATATCAGTCGGAGAAATCTGACGATCTACGAAACTCACTTCAAAAAATCAAATGCGGACTGACGGCGTATTCTACTATGTTTGGATCTAAGATTTGCAGTATAGATAAAGTATTTTATGATCTTTCGAATGAGGTAAGTCTCTAGTTCGAAAGACAATCGTATCAACTTGAACAAAAGTTGAGTTTTGACGAAAAATTTTAACATGCGCAGAAGTCCCATTTTCGTTGTACCATATTGACTGATCTGTCATGTCAGTTCAATGAATATCGCTATCCAAACGTCTGATTCAAATCTCGTATGAACAAGAAAGAGGACGGTATACCTTTTCAATGATGCACTGTATTATGTTGCTATCTATTTCAAATTGTCAAAACTGTATGTCTGGGGAAAATATTTCGTGATTTCTTTTTAAAGTTCTATACGTTAGACTTGGTTTTTTTTAGTTTCTAAATGTTTCATTAAACTATGCCATAAAGGAGATTGAAGTTCCGCGTAAATGTATATTTTCTTTCTTTCTTATTTTCACTACATGTTTTACTGATCTTTTAAATGTTTTTGAGTACTTTAACTAAAGGAAAATAAACAAAATTAATTAATATGCGCTGTGTTACTTCATTAGGAATCGCCATTGTAAAATAGTCCTTTCCTGCCGTGGAAAGCCACTCCTTCTCCATCTCCGCCTTAGGGACGCTATGTAAACTGTATACGTCATTCTCACAAAGTTTAATTGATTTATCTTTCTAGAGTATTGTGTTCTGTAGAATTCGGTTTCACACTAATCATGGGTTTTCGAGTATTGGGCTTCGAAATGTTAAGGACGGGGGGGGGGGGGGCGTGTATCGTCGGTTCGCAGGCTCAATTACTACGTGAGGATACATGTAGGTCCGAAGCTTGATGAAGCAAGATGGAGGGGGGGGGGGGGGGTGCGTGCTCTCCATATGAAATTAAACACACAATGGAAGATCATACCACCGTATTCACAAATGACATTTAAGTTTTGTGAAAATAACGTTCCTTACAAGTTTTTATTACAGGTCGTGTAGACCATTGTTGTGTGATTTATAGCAAAAACATTGACTTTTACACGTTGGTAACGATATATGCCCTTTTATATCTCATATCTCAGAAGCGTATCATTTCAAACAAAAAAAATTAGAATACCTAGCACATTTTACTACACCGTGCGCCTATTCATTTTGCAATTAAATCGTAAACTTTCCTTAAAAATAAATCTTCCAGATTTGTGGAATTTTGCAGAAATGCCGGCATCACCTCCTCCGTTCATTCTATGCGATCATAGGGGGTGATTCTTTATCTAACGCTCGAGAGAGAGAAGGCTGTGTCGATCACGACTTAGATGATGAATAAGGTCTATGCAGTGTTAGACCAAGGACGTCAACCTTGGAGGTTGACGTCCTTGGTTAGACGAAGTTGTCCTAGGTGTCCCAAAGACACTATTTTGTAAAGAAATCTGCCTAACATAATCTATGTTCTGAATTAAAAGAAACGCATTTGGAAAATATTGTCTCCATATTTATTTTAACGCTAAATGCGTCTGCGACCAAGACAGGGGCCTTCTTAGTCGAAAGTGCAACTTTACCTTCACTTGTAGAACACATTTAGTAAGAATGTTAATTTCAACTTTCTTCTACCGATTTGCGATGCCAGACTGTCGTGGCATGTTAGACAATACAATTTGAAAAAAGACAACACAATAACAACACAATATCAAGCCTAATTTCACATTCTCTTCAGTAAAACTAATTTTCAAAGATTGCGCTAATAAAACTATATTTGTTATATTGCTAGGCAACTGCCACGAAGTACATGGCAAAAATTCGTCGACTACGATTTCATTGACGAGGTGCTTCGAGAAACGCAATTTGGAAAATCGTGGACAAGATCGTAGAGAACAAAAATCGTCAATCTGTGAATCGTAATTGACGATATTTTCGAGAAACGAATGCATTCATAGCGCACTTATTGCACTTAATTAAATGCTGTATGCGTAAATCATGAAATTAACGGCATAGCTGGAGTTCTACGATTGTTCATCGTATTTCATTCTAATACTCATAGCATCTTTCTATTTCACCTGAAACATCTCAGGGCTGAGAAGAAATGAGATGTCATGCAGGCCCGTAGGCAGGATTTGCCAAGGGGGGGGGGGGGGTTCAGTTTTCAAAAATTTCCAGGGGGGGTTCACATTTGACAATTTTGGCCCAAATATGCCTAAAATCCCTCGAGAAGTGCTCAAAATGGTGAAGTACTGCATGAATTTGAAAGAATTTTTGGCCAGGGGGGAACCCTGCGAACCCCCCTGGCTACGGGCCTGTCATGGTTTATCATGATGATCGTATTTAGCTATAATTTAGCATTTTTGAAATCATACATGGTCCACTGACGGATCCAGACCACCCCCCCCCTCTTCCTGGGCCAAGAAAAAAAGTGTAGGGCCCCAAAAATTGTTTTGCTCAAAAATTACACAAGGCCTCAAAAATGGGCATGTTGGCCATAATTTGGCCTTTTTAGGTCAAATGTTCAAAACATGGGCCGTAAATTTTCATCTGGATCCGCCAGTGTCGTCAACGTTGTTAATTTAAAAAGGACAAATAATTGCAACATTGAAAGTGCAACTTATCAAGGTACACGCCTCCCGACGAGTGACACGTGTTGGTATAAACTATCCAATGCTGCACATAAAACGCATGCATAATACAAAAAAATGCTGGGATTGAAATTGTTTCGTAGTGTAAGCCAATTTACTGACTGAATTACTCAGTTGGAGTAACAATTCCCGGGGAAACTTTCCCGGGGACAGATAACTATTCCCTCTATTGACTAAACCAGGTACTACTACTCCACTCCACCTTTTGAAAATAACTGACTCATATATATATATATAATATTGAACAATATTTTTGTGTGTTTCTAGGAGGTATGGTTTTCATAGTTACCTGAGAGAGATGTTTAACTGTCCCACTGCTGTAATGAGCTACTTGTGTGAAATGTACAAAGTTCATGCCATTCCAGTAGGCGACCACACTACTAAACAAAGGGTACGTCCAAAAGTGTACACCCTGATCCCTCTATGGGGTGATAAAAGAAATTTGGATATATTTACTAGTTTATGATGTCATACTTTGCTGGCAGCATTAGCATTGTCTATTATACCAAAACAAAATTTGTAAGGTTTAGATTAAGTTTATCCCCTTTCTGGATTATACATTTGACATTGTTTTTTAGGTAATTTGCTTTTAATCCAGCAGTTAATCTTATCTGGCTCCTTACATGTAATTTTCAGGTTTAAGGTTTCAGGTTGTAAAGGATCCTTTTTAGAAATGAAGCCTATATATTTGATTTGATTTAAATATGATTTGTTCATATTTCAGGTGGAAAAGGTCGTCAATGAGGTACCCAGATTGAGTACTTTCTACACAGAGAACCATCAGTATGCAATCAGAACGTCACGTTACGATAAATCAAAGTCATCGCGCTGTTCCGAGATCAGGTAATTTATTAAGCGATGTAAATCATGTTTGAAATGATTGATTTCTGCTTGATTCGTAATTTTTGCAATAATTCATCGGTGATCTGATTGGTGATTCATGAAACTGAGTTATTTGAAATATCAGAAAAACTTTCTTCACTAGAGTGCCATTTCTACTATATGCCAATGCTGAAATGAGCGTTTACAATAAGCACTACCAGAGTTACGTCATGAGATACAACAGCTGAAACCCGAACCCAATAGATTGCCACGACAGTTAAATAGATGTTTATTTGATTTTAAGAAAATTAATTTGAAAATTAAATTGAATATTTGTTTTATTATTCAATGTTATATTCTTTACTCACGTTAATGGAATAACAAATTATTGATGTCTAATTAATCATAGAAATGTACTCCCAGGCTATATTGAAATTGAAATTACATGAGACTAATTCGTGACTGTGAATATCATTTGATATTCAACGGAATTTTCTTGACTTCCGTTGAATATCGCTTGTTATTTTATAGTCACGTGTAGGACAGGGACCAATCAGAGAGTGAAGAATATGACAGTTAAATAAATAAAGTTGTCTTACATTTTCTTTATAGGAAGCCTAACCTGCTGACTGTAACTGTGGATGAAAACAGAGAGAGGGAGCTGACTCAACTACTAAGGGTATTAGCCAATTGTTTGTTTAAGCGATCTAAGAGTGCTCAAATAAGTTTGTGCTAATGCTAGGTCACCAACAGGTTCAAAATTTCTCGGTTTGGTTTTCATAATTTTTTACCTTTTAGTTTGGTTCCTCTGTTTTTTTCGCATTCATTTATCTTTAATTTTCAGAGGATTGCCAAGGATTTTTTTACATGTAGCTTACTCATATATCAGTACAATATTTCACAGTGCTAGATTGTTCTTTCCGTGATAGGTACATCATCCATCTTTGGATACTTAAATTTCAAATGAAATATTCTCCTCTCCAGGCACCAGTGAATGTTAATTGTGAAAGATGTCCAGGTAACATTTGAAATATTTGTTTAATGTGTATTTAGACACATTCCCAAAAAATGATAAAAAGCAAGTAAATCTTTTGTTCTTCAGGAAATCTTGGGGACCTGTCACGATTACGAAGAAGTTCTAAGAAAACATCAACTAGATCTTGGAGGCCTAGAAAAACAACTTGAGGCTCTGAGAACTGAAAAGGTAGCTTCATGTGATATGTGTTTTATGTTAAACCTTTTTAAGAAGATTAATTTTCTATTATATTTGTTCATATTTCAATCATATTCATTTCACAGTGGGCCTGAACATTTTAATATATACACTTCATATTTATTTCATTGTGTCCCTTACAGTTTTACATACAAGTATGAAAATAGAATTGTAATTTATAAAACATAAGGCCTAAACCTACTATGTTTATGTTTTCTCTTATAATTCCTTACAGAAAGCCCTCCTTCAAAAACGAGACCAGAGAAAATCCCTGGAAAACCAAATCACTAGCAAGAAGCAGAGGTGTGTAGAATATACATGATTTCTAAGTACCATAATATACATGATTTCTAAGTACCATAATATACATGATTTCTAAGTACCATAATATACATGATTTCTAAGTACCATAATATACATGATTTCTAAGTACCATAATATACATGATTTCTAAGTATCATAATATACATGATTTCTAAGTACCATAATATACATGATTTCTAAGTACCATAATATACATGATTTCTAAGTACCATAATAAACATGATTTCTAAGTACCATAATATACATGATTTCTAAGTACCATAATATACATGATTTCTAAGTACCATAATAAACATGATTTCTAAGTACCATAATATACATGATTTCTAAGTATCATAATATACATGATTTCTAAGTACCATAATATACATGATTTCTAAGTACCATAATATACATGATTTCTAAGTACCATAATATACATGATTTCTAAGTACCATAATAAACATGATTTCTAAGTACCATAATATACATGATTTCTAAGTACCATAATATACATGATTTCTAAGTACCATAATGTATACAGGCTTCTCACCAGGAATTATTTAGGGTATGGTGCAAACATCTTCAGCATAGTCTTTCAATCGTGATAAATCATAGTTATTATTGTGTATACATAATAACAATGTATATGTATTTATAATTCTTAATTATAATTTATGTATATGTATATATAATTCCCTATGTATTCAGTCAAGTGTAGACTGTTGAAACAGTCATGATTTGCCAATATGTTGTGGTGGGAGCTAAATAGACTGTGGTGCTGCAAAGCCTGGCAAGAGCCCTGATATATTATAATTATAAAAAAATATGTCCAATGATTTATTATTAATGACATGATATTCATCCAGGAATTGATATGATGGCAAAGATCAAGGCTCACTCGTGTAGATATCTGTTCATGAGGTCATAAATTTCATATCATGAGGAAATCATAGGATACTTTTTTTATTCCATAGTTAATATGAGTGTTATTCACCTTCTTAATGTCTAATTGTTACAAGGCATTAAACTACACGTAAAGTATCCTCTAAAATAAATGTCAGCCTTGTTTTAATTCAAGTTGCAAAAATCCGTAAACCATCAAATATGGTGTCGTATTTAATGGCTTAGTGAAATTTTGCAGGAGGTATAGTTTTCCACTGATTTCCACTGATTTGGGGACAGTGTACCAAACAGTAAATTATGCTCTTAATTTACATTTTAAAGTTCCCCCATATACTCTAAATGAGCCTGGCCATAGGAAAACCAGTCTTATCACAAAAATTTAAATTGTGCTACAGAGCCAAAAATGTGCCTAGGATCAAGAGGAAATGTACTAAATTCAAATCCGTATTTTGGTCTATATCTGCAAGGAAAAATTGTCATGGCTCATTTGAAAGGTCTCTTTGTGCTTTTTAAGAAAAAACCCAAAAAATCAAAACATTGAAAAAATCTGTGATAAGACCCCTTTCCCGTGGCTTGGCTCAAATGCCCTAAGAATGATAACTGTTCATTGTACTCTGGAAGTAGTACTCAGCGAAAGGTGTGTCCTCTAATAATTTTGGATACATTGTGTCCGGGTGATATAATAACTTAAGGTAGTGATATGCCATGACCATTCTGAAATGAAGATTTTGATGCTCTTTATTAATTCAGTTGTTGATTTATCTAGAGGTAGACTGTGAAGATTGTACACCTCCACTGTGAACAAACAATTTTAGTTGCTATGTGAAACTTAAGTTCAAAAGCTTGTTTTTAAGTAAGTTATTGACATTACGAATTGATATATATATAGAGATTATCCTATATGAGGTTCAGGGTATTGGGACCTGCGGCCCTCGGGCAAATATATTATATTGGCCAAGGGATAATCCCAATATCCTGAACCAACTATAGGATAATATGTTTATCCCATACCAATCTTGGTCATCCGGTACTCATTGTTCAATCGTTGAAATATTTTAGAATATTCATGTCCAGTTTTGTTTTCTTGGCCCTGGCCGATTTTCCTGTTCTCTCAAATATTCCCGCATTTATTTTCTCGAATTTCTGATTGATTAGGTGGATGCTCCTTCCCTTTTTTTGTCGTTTACAGTCATTACGCGAACGTTACAAATTATGAACAAATATGCGAGCGGCGATTATGACGTAGCGGGCAGATATACTATATCTGCCCGCTCGGAGCGGGACGTAAAGCTATATCTGCCCGCTGATGAAAATATAAGTTTTTACAAACCGGCTTTATGTACCTATAACACGTCCAAGTATGGGATAAACTCATATATGTACTATAACATAAAACATATATGTACTCACATATGTAATTTATGCCCATTGGGGTTTATTGACTTTTGAGAGATGTTCACAATGACTGAGAATTGAGTCTATGTTGTACATGTAAGATATAGTTAAGTGTTTATTATTAAGTTCAAACTCTCAAGTTTGTTTTAAAGTAAGGAATTGACATTAGGAATTGATTTATATACTCATTATATATGTAACACCCCGACATTTGAACTCGGAATCCTACAAATACTCGGACTTCAGCAAACATGAGGTTTGGGCAAATTAGGTTCAATTCTTATGCTGGGCATAAGAGTAGATCTGTTCTTATGCCGGGGGTAAGAGTAGATCTGGGATTGACTTAGATAATAGGGGGATGGCTCCTGATTCTTGGAATGTAGCTCAGTACTGCACATTTGGTTCACCTTATGAGATGAATGAATGTTTGATTGCAAATATCATCAAATATCAAAATGAAATCTCTTCTTTCATTGTCCTCATATACAATGGGTTCACTGCTATGAGATTGAATGTTTGATTGCAAATATCATACTCATAATTGTGATAATTGTAATCGTCTCTTATATGTCATCATCCTTCACCATCCGAAATGAAATCTTTTCTTTCATTGTCCTCACATACAATGGGTTCACTGCTTTAGGTTTGCTGCAATGGGTTTTTTGAAAGTTTCAGTCGGGACAGAATTCTCTCTGTATCAACCACTATTGAATTAGTATTCCCAGAGCCTAGCATAGGATAATTGAATGTAGCATAACCACTGTCTTTCTTTCTAAATTCCTCGTCCTCTAAAGATAAGATCTCTTCCCTTTCAGTAGGTGTAAGCTTGCGCTTTGGATGCTGGAGTATACCTTGTTTAAGATATTCTAGCTCACACTCTTCAAACACCAGCTTCAGATATTCACAGAACTCGGGAGAACTTATACGTGATGATTTCAGTAGTTCAGATAGCATGTACATGACAAGTAGGAATATTCTTGAGTCAGTTATATCAATCCTATTACCTGCTTGATGGATATAGATATCAGGACAGTCTTTATCAAAGAGATCTTCATGCCATGCAGCACTTATCTCAACCTCAGTTGTATTCTCTACAGATCTGAGTAACAACTTAGATAGATTGTCTGAAATATCATGATAACATTTTCCAAGAGAGGGCTCATCTGCACTGCAGTTACATTGCTCCTGATGGTATCTTACTAATGTATACAGTAAATGTGAATTTACTTCGAATGTGTACTTAGGTTTCTTCTTGTACTGTGATTGAATATATTTCAGTGCTACCAGTACAATCCTGTGATGATCATCTATCCTGGATGCTTGCAATTGTGGTTTCTCGTAGAATGATTTCACCCAGCAATGATCAATAGGCAATATCATAGAGAAACTGTCCAATGTATCAGGTAGCTGAGGTGTATTGAGTATTTTTAGACAGAATGCCAGGTCTATGTCTGTTGCGCACAATGGTCCCCACACCCTGAGTTGGATGCATGGTCCATGTGGTTCCCAATACAGGATGACTTCAGGCCATCTCAGCTGAGATAACTCCACAAGCTCATAGGCTTGATCTCTCCCTCCCCTGTAGACCAGTACTCCCTCAGTGTCAAGTTGTGAAATAGCTCCAACTATTATGTGCTCAGTCAAATATTCTGGATCGAGTGAATTGTCTAATTTTTTTAACCCTGGATGTTTCTTAGTGAGATTTTGTAAATCAGTTTGTGTATCATCAGGTAACTTTACAACTAATTGACTGGGCTTGTAAAACTTTACATTACATTTCTTATCTCCAGATATTGGCGGGAGAGGGAGAACCATTGAATGCATATTTATTAATTCTTCATACTGAGTATTGAGGTATTCTTCATATCTACCTTGGTCAACACCATCAACTTTCTCTGACACTGATATCGCTACATATCTGGAGAGAGCCATTGGGAGAACAAAATCAATTTCATTGGGAGATTCTAATTTAGTCCCATTTGCCATGCTCCCACTCAGTAGTATGTCATCCACTGCTAATGCTGGGTGCATTTTGTTGAATTTATCAATGATTGGTTGTATAATACAATCCATGATATATTGAACATGGACATCCTTTTCGAAGAGAATATATAATTTAGCCAAGTAGTGCATTTCAGTTACAAGTTGAGAAACTTGTTCCTCAGGGGTGAGAGTGTTCTTTGTTGGAGTAGAAAATAGCCATTCAGGAATTATTGGACTCTCTGAGTCTGAACTATTCTCACTACTACTCTCTTTGGACCATCTGTCACTACCATTACTATTACTAGAGCTGTTCGTAGTAAATAGCCATTCAGGAATAATTAGACTGTCTGAGTCTGAACTATTCTCACTACTACTCTCTTTGGACCATCTGTCACTACCATTACTATTACTAGAGCTGTTCATAGTAAATAGCCATTCAGGAATAATTAGACTGTCTGAGTCTGAACTATTCTCACTACTACTCTCTTTGGACCATCTGTCACTACCATTACTATTACTAGAGCTGTTCATAGTAAATAGCCATTCTGGAATTATTGGACTCTCTGAGTCTGAACTATTCTCACTACTACTCTCTTTGGACCATCTGTCACTACCATTACTACTAATAGAGCTGTTCATAGTAAATAGCCATTCAGGAATTATTGGACTCTCTGAGTCTGAACTATTCTCACTACTACTCTCTTTGGACCATCTGT